GGGATATAGAGAGAAACTTATTTTGTGCAATTACAATATTGAATCTATGCACTCTAATCCAGAAGGCATAAAGGAAAGATTAGAAACAGAGAACTTATGAATATACATATTAGCAGTTTCCCTTGCCTTATCACCCACAAATAGAAGCTTCTCCGCTTCCTCAGCCCGAATAATAGAATGTTGTTGCATAATATCCTTATCTCCAAACTTCGTCCAATCATCAACTCCGGATGTTTGAGCAGATGCCGAGCAACCAATCTCAGCATCACTTACATTCCCATCCTGACCTTGCATCATCTCCTCTTCAGCAAAAAAAAAGGTACCTCCCTAATAAATACTATTTTCTACAAAAGAATACATTTGGACTAGTAAAATTCAACAGAGAAAACATAGAGATGATGGCATTTGCCTGCAGTAAATACATTATGATGTGATTTAGGCATAGAGCTACAATCTACTCCGTATTTATTTTGACACACCTTTAAAGCAATAAAAACACAAGAAAATCTTAATGTGATTAAAGAATTCAGTTAAAATGGGTAAAATTAGAAAATTGCAGTAGATGTTGCCTAAGGGTATGTTTGGATTGAGGTAGGTAAATTTTTATTAGGTAGGTAATAGTAGGTAATTGAAAGTAGGCAAAGTAAGGTAATAAGTTGAAAAATTATGTTTGGATATTTATTAGGTAATGTGAGGTAGGTAAAACAATAAAATTACTTAAATATCCTTTTGCTTGTTTTTCTTTATTACGTGCTTCACTCTCATTCTTCTCTATGTCATCATCTTCGTCTTCAACTATGTCTAGAGTCCAAGCCTCGTTATGATCCCACATAGCAAATAGTTGTGTAAGAGCAAAAAAACACAAAAAAAACAGCGAAAAAAACAAAAAAAAATCAGAAAAAAAAACATAAGAAAAAACGGCAAAAAAATAAAACGAAAAAAAACAGCAATAAAAAACCCCCAAAAAATTTTAAAACAAAACCGGAAAGAAACATTAAAAAAACCAGAAAAAAACAAAGCATGTTATTACAACAATTAGAAAAAAAACAGCAAAAAAACACAAAAACAGAAAAAAAAAGAAAAGCAAAAAAAAGGAAAAAATTGAGACCTCACCTTATGGCAGAGGGGGCCAATCGCAGAAAGAAAACAGCAGCAGAAATTTCACAAGGAAGCAGCGGACAATCGGCGATGGGAGAGGAAGCAACCGCAGGGAAAAACAGAGAAGGGCAGAGCAGCGGAACCAAAAATTTTACCTTGGTTGCTCGCCTTTTCCGCGGAACCAGATTTTACACTGTTCAGCGGTCACAATACCTCCCTCCACCTCCTCTTACCTTCCTTAATTTTTTCTCCCAAACAAGGTAAAGATTGAATTTCACCTCATTCTACCTCACCTTACCTCAAACCAAACACAGCGTAAGACTCAAATGGGCAGCTATGCACATGGTATTAACTGTTCAGTTGACTCTTAGGCAACATTATTGCATTTTAACTAGTCGAAAACATTGTTACTACACGAATTCCACTCCCAGGCATTCTATTTTTCAAATCATCTTAAAGTCTGTGAGAGAGTCAACTAGATGTCTAGATTGCGCAAGGGTGGGTAGATGTTTTGTGGTTCCAACAACAAAATTCAGAGTTTTTACCTGAACAATAGATTTGGAGTAGGAGTAATCGATACTTTTAACGTAACAAAAGAAGAAAAGAATCATGTTTAAACAACAACAACAAGCAATATGTTAGAACTAAAAGTTATAATCACAAACTTGAACAGTTATAATAGAGCAAATACTTCTCTAAAACGTGAAAATAAGATCTGGACAGTGGTGTTTCGCAAAAATCTCTGGAAATAGAGCGCTAATACATGATATGTAAAGTGGTGTTTCAGATTCAAAATGAATATCTACAGATTGACAATAGATCTACAGATTGATTACTGGCAAAAACATCTAAAACTGTTTTTCAATCTCTGGATAACTGAAACAATACCTAATTTCGTTAAGGCTGGAAGTTGGAGCAAAGAAGACTGAAAGATAAAATACTGTACCTGGATTGAAGACGGGGACCTTGCCTTTCGAATAAGAGCCAAGAACGAAGGTGCGTTTGGTTATGCAAAAAAAGAAAAGAACTTATTGGGCCAATGGGCTTGCTGGGTTGGGAAAAGTAGAAAAAATTTGAATTGAGAAAATTGAAAGTGAATGGAAAAGAAATACGGAGTAAATCAAATTGTTATTGTTTGGTTTCCGTTTTAATTTTCATTCTGAAAATTGAACCGAATAGGTTGAAAAATTTTGTTTTATACATATGAGTATATGGATATGTAAAAAAAATTATAGATTTAAAAATGTAAATAACATCAATTAAGTTTACTTGCCTTAACTATTAAGTATTCTTAACCATATTATAAACTTTAAAAAACTAATTATATAAACACCAATAACTAATCTTAATTTGGAGTTATATTAATAAAAACTAATACGAGTATTTTATATATTTTCATAAAAACTTTGATGTTATGATGAAAATAGAAATATTATACGGAGTATCAAAATGTAAATACTCCAAAATTGGTAATTACACACGAAAGCTTTTGGAGTATTTGGAAACTCCTATATGTTGGTTGGGCACTCATTATTTTCTCACTTGAAGTGTGTGCGTTTGATTTGTCGAAATCTCTTTTAAATTATTTCTTTCACAAGCAAATTTAGTTCAGGTTATAGTAACGATGTAAGTGTGTAACTTGTGAGTTGTAATTCAAATGTTTTCGAACCAAAACTTTTAACATTTACATAAATTGTTCAATAGGCGGTCTACTCTTTAGTTAAACAATTTATTTGGAGTAATCTTTTACAGAGTAGACTAATAGCATTAAAATATTTTAGTTGGTTAAAAAAATTGATGTTATTTCAAATTTATTAAACAATAATTTTCATATTTAGAATTATTTTAGGTAGTGTTTGACAACTAGCATTTCATTTCAATTCATGTATTTCAATTCTAAAATTTGAAATCCTGAATTTTAAATGACAAGGGGGGTGCATGGATTCCAAATTAAGCTTGGTTTTGAATGTAAAGAATTTGATTCAAATCCAAATTCAAAATGCTTAAGTTTTCCAAACATGGAATTTAAGCCAAATCTGGATTTGAAATCCAAATCCATGTTCCCAAACATACCATTAATTTTTTTGTTTTACAAAAGAGTGCTTTTCAAATTTTTTTACAACACACATTATGTTTTATATAAAAAAATATTTTAAAAACTGAAAAAACCTAAAAACCAATAATAAGTGAATAAAGGTTAAATGATGATGAGCATAGGTCTAGGCGAAAATGAGCTAGGTAGTGATGAGGCTGAGCTTGGGTACAATGCCGAGCCTAGACAAGATTGGGCCGAGTTCACCCAAGACGGGGCCGAACTCGCACCCTTGCCTTCTCGGACAAGATTGGGCTGAATTCACCCAAGATCTACAAAGTTTATAGAATGTAGGTCGCTGATTCATGGCTGATATGCCCATCAAGCATAATTCCCAACATTTTTTAGTTTGATTCCAAATTTCTATGGTTTAATTTTTATACGAAACTATAGACAGAATTTAAGGTAAATTTACACTTCAGTTCAATTATGTACCATAAATATATATATATATATATGATGGTTGTTCATTTCAATTTTATACGGTTTTGGTTTTGGTTCTATGCAACTTTTGAAGTCTAGATTCTTTAAATACACAAAATTTAGAATGTTTAAATTTTAATTTTATTATTCACTTGTTAGAAATGCTTCAATACGCCAAAGACCTTTTGGTCTAGCAATATCAATATGTCTCATCAGGTACGTGGTTAGATGCCATGGATTCAAACTGTAATGGATAAAACTATGTTAAAAATGATGAACAAATATTACTACCATATCCTCTATGCCTCTGCAAATAAGGGTTGTGAAGGGTGTTCCTCCACCCAAAGTCGAAATTTTTTTCTTTGTTCTTTCGAAAAATGATCAACCACCATTAGTCATGTATAACCGTCTGATCAAGTTTAAGGGTTTCGCGGAAATGAGACTATCTTTTTTTTGTTCAAATAAAACTTGTATTGTTACTAATTGTATATATGAATAATTGATGAATTGATTGAAGTTGTTCTTTCACAAGTTTGGATCTTTTCTTAATACTCCTATAAATTCCTATCTTCTTCAAATTAGTTGATGAATTACAAAAGTCAAAAATGCTGAAAACAAGAGAAATGCCCAAAATATCTTCGTTATTGGCAGTAGCATTAATTGCTCTGACCATATGCAACGGCTCTGCGCAACTACCGCAACCCGCACCGCCGACGGGAACCCCAACCCCGGCGGCGCTACATCGGTCCGCCCAAGAATTCCTGGACGCCCACAACCGAGCTAGAACAGAAGTCGGAGTGGGCCCACTCGCATGGAGCCAGACGCTTGCCAATGCCACCAGCCTGGCGGTGCGCGTGCAGAGAGACAAACAGAACTGCAGCTTCGCCGACTTGAGCGGCAGTAAGTACGGCGGCAACCAGCTGTGGGCGGGAGGGATGGCGGTGACGCCGCGGACGGCGGTGGAGCACTGGGTGGGGGAGAAGAACTTCTACAGCTACGCCAACAATTCTTGCATTTCCGACCACAAATGCGGCGTGTACACTCAGGTGGTTTGGAAGGAGTCGGTGGAATTGGGCTGCGCTCAGGCGACCTGCGCCAAAGGGCAGACCACCTTAACCATATGTTTCTACAACCCTCCGGGTAACATTGTCGGAGAAAGACCGTACTGATAGATGACGTGTCTCTTTCTCCTTCCATCTTTGTCAAGAATCATTCAAGCTTCCTCATTTCTAGCCTTGAAAAATAAGAGTTGGGTTTGTATGCAAGTCATATAATGGTATGGTTGAAAACTTTGGGTTCCATTCTTAATACATTACACCTTCCATATGAATTTAATTTCCCATTTTCTAAAAAAAAACATTTTTTAAATGAAGACAAGAAAGTGTATATAACATAACAGACAGTTACAAAAGAATTGAGGGAGTATATAACAGGCAGTAGACAAGATACTCTCATAACTGCAACAAAGCATTTGTATGAAGCCAACATAAGATTATATATACAAGGAATTGAAACATCTAGTTAATGTAAACCTAGCTAGCTATGCATTGTTAAGACTGAGAGTTTTCTACCCATTTACACTGCTGAAGAAAGAGCAAGAGAACCCAGGATCAGCTTTAACTTCACCAGTGGGACGCAGTGGAAACAATTATCTCACTAGCTCCTTAAATATAAGATACCGGAAGGCGAAATTATGAGGAACCCATTCGATGTTCTTGCGACCTTTTCTGAGCTGAAACTTCTTCTTAGTCATGCTAATGCTCTTCTTCCTCAGAGAATCGGGCAAAGATTGCCAGACCATCTCTACCACGCTGGCAGAACTCATTCCTGAATCCTTGGCAAATGACTCCACAACCTTTGGTAACAAAATCTTGTTGTCCTTTGTGACGCCAAAGGTTGCTCTAGTGTATTCCTCTTTTGCTGCTTCCAGCTCCCGAAACACTCTTTTGGGCGTAAAGAGTCGGACCTGAAAATTTTTAAAAAAATGCCCATTGTGCATCAGCTGGAAAGATGATCAAAAGTTCAATCTTTTTGTTTTAGACCCAAGAAAGGTTTTATACTCTAAACAATAAGTACCGCGGGATCGGAGTGGTTTCCAGAAGAGAGTGCAAAATGCAGTAGAGGTTCTGGATGTTCAATCACAAATGCTTGTCGTTTGTCTTCTGTTCTGAATTTCGCCTTTGATGAAAGAAGTACCCGAATCCACTGCATATAAAAGTATCTAGATCAGCACTTAATGAGCAAAGACTAGACTGCATTATAAGGGAGAATTGGTTGGGGGTGGGATAAACCTGTCCAGGCCGAGACATTCGGCATTTGAGTATAGATGTTTGTATTGCATCCGCACTTATGATGCACCCCCCAACATTATAGGCAGCCTGGATTAGAAGAAATGAAGTGCCAAGCTTAAGAGAGAGCATCCTTGCCAAGCCAAACCAGAAGAATTTTATTGGGTTGAGAAAAACGTGTATGTTTTTGCTAACCTTTAAGAGAAGGAAAACTTTCTTCATGCTGCTTTGTGGGATTCCATAAGCCAAATATGCCTGTTAAGATTTCAAAATTATTATTGAAATTTCGGGTTCCATCTTAATAAATATTAGCACAAAGCATGCAAATTTTAGGAGAAGAAATTACATGCATAACCAATGCATTGTGGATGTTAATCCAAAATGCTAGTTTCTCCTCATGAGTTTTCAGCCTGCTTGGATCAGTTTCATCTAATTGACAAATAAGTGACCTACAATGCAAAAACCGCAATGAGCAATTGTGACACAGTTGACACTGAACATGGTAAGAAATTATCGTGCATAGTACTCAAATGATGTTTGTTTGTTACCTGTAATATTGTAGCAAGGGCTCAATCTCACAAAGTTTATGATTATCTCTATATATACATTGTATTTCGATCATTGTGCTGTAAGGTCCACTGAAATCCTTAAGCCCTTCAACGTGGAAAGGGTTGTCCAAGCGCACGTCAAAAGATGAAACATTCCTAAATCCCGGGCTCCACAGACCATCGTGCGAATATGGATTTGGTGATGAGAATGCTGAGGTTGCTGGAGAGGAGGAGGCTCCCAGCTGACTTGTTGTTAGTGGTGGATCAGCAAGCTTGCAGTATATTGTGCTCATGCATTTTATCATTTCCTCTGAGAGCTTGTTTGGCGTCTCTGGAACATGATCTATGGTGATATGGTTGAAAACACGCTCCCCTAAACTGAACATGTTTGATGAAACACTCTGTGCATACTGCAAATAAAAAATATTAGTACTCCAGGGGTGAAAATTCTTCCTAATAGGGTAAATTTTAGAGTACACACTCTCCCAGTTCTGAGATGCAACTAACCTCCCTCATTGACAAAGGTTGAGAATGACAAGCGCGCACAGATCTGCCCAAAGTGTCTTCTGGCGTTAATGTTCTGTTTGGTAGACCTGAACGCTGAGATAGTGAAGAATGACTTCGTTGAACACGAGAATCAGAATTTGATGCAACTTCGGCAAAGCCATTACTCTCTTTCATGGGTAACTTTGAGAAATTCAGCCTTCTTCTTGGGGTACCACTTGAGGGTGGTTTCAGTCTATCGTCCCTTCGTGGAGGAGACAAGGATGGGAGCTGTTGATCAAAAGCTTGCCTGTAGAGTGAAAGGAGGTACTGTTCCAAGTGTCCAACCTCTACCTCTAGCACTGCAATTTCTCGAATAAGTTCCCTCGTTGGCTGCTATCAATTGAACCAAAGAATGTATTATGATTTGGGTTCCATCCTAAAAGTTCAAATGATATTATAGATGCCGCGCAGCGTGGGTCCAAGAAAGTGTAATGTACCTTAGTAATTGGGGTTTCAGCTGTGGTCTTATGGGAGGAGGACCCATAACCCAAGGCTTTCTCTAAAGCACATCGAACCGCAACTTGGTCCTGCAATCTTTTCTCTAGCTGCATTATCTGCATCGATAGAAATGCGTGAACTATTACAATCATCAAATTCCAGTTAAAATCTTTTCATGTCTCTTGATTATATTGTTTGTACCTCTTTCCTCAATGAGTTTTGGACCTCAACACAAGATGATGGTTTCTTCTTGCTCTTTACCAAATCATGAAAATGTTCCATATCCTATCACAAACACCACTTCAAATTAAAACTGCAAATATATCAAAACTAATCAAAGCCAAAACTGAAACTGGAAATCATTGTCATGCCTGACATGCCATGTTTAGTCATGTGTGCAGTAATGTTGCAGGACATTCAAATGGTGGGCAAACATTATACTCCCTAACAATTCAAACTCTTTTTAAGCAACAAAAAGCAGAGAATTGGGGCAAAATGAGCTAAACATTCAAAATTAACCCTTTAGACCCCTTCCTTAATCATAAAAAATGAATATAAATAAAAAAAAATATCATCATAAACAACCAAAAGAACTAGGAGATTCAACACTGCCAGATTGCCAGATGAACAAAAAATTAGGGGAAAAGGGGAAATTTTTTTACCATCCGAGGCGAAAAAAAGAATGATCGACCAAGATTGAATCTTTTTTTCCAAATGCACCCCAAACCAGGAAAGTCTCAAAGAATAAAAATCCCGGAATGGGTCGTCAAGAAAAATCTCGTCTTGGGAATCAGAAACCAGATTTGTTTCAATTCCGCGGCCATAAACAGAAACGCAGAGAACAATCTGAAAGAGAAGAGGAAAGAGACGATGTAGTGTGTATACACAGAAAAAAACAGAGCCCGGAGCTTTTGACCTTGGGAAAGATTTGATTTTTTCCCCTTTTTTCCTCTTGTTTTTTACTTTCCTCACAGTAGTGTGATACAGTATATACACTTTAGCGGAGCTCCAAGAACAGTTTGTTACTCGTGTATATGAATGGAGTGGCTTTTTGGCAAGGGAGTGGGGGGGAGGTGGAGGGACCTTTTTCGTCTTAAAAGGATACACAAAAGTCATCCCCCCTATGATGCAATCTACCGTATGTATAATGAATGATGACTCCAAATGTCAAAGGTTATGTACAAGTAGATGAGATGGAGAAATCAGAAGAAGAAGAAGCATTAGGTAACTAAGTGGGACGAGATCAAAGGTCATCAAACTAAACTAGTTAATGGATTTATGGTCCATCTACTAACTAACTACAAATCAATTGAATAGATAAATGGTACTACTTGTTTTGCTCCATCTCTTTCACAACAAAAAGGATGACATCTCATCTCCGATGACCCTTCAGCACCGATCGAACAGGTAGTTGAGACTTGAGATGAAGTAAATTTTGTTATAATCTCAGTCTGTTGACATGAGAGTAATTCTGTGTCTGGTACTTTCAGAAGTCCCATGCTCCACATGGTTGCGTCTCATATACCAACCATTGATTGCTCCATTCTTTCACATTTCTCTAAATTGTGGACTTCCTAAAGTTCATATTCCCACTCTTTTTTATGAGTGAATAAATTGTACGGAATACAAGGTATGATGCATAAATTCTTAAGTTCTTAAGGACTCAATTAAAATTTTAGTTCATTTAATTTTTTATTAATTTGCTTATATGAGAAGTTCAATGCACTGTTTATTACTCTCTTTGTCCTAATTTAAGCTCTCCATTTCGGTTTATGATATATGACTAAAGTAATTTTCAATGTCTAATACAAATTTTATTTAATTAGTAGTCAACACTCAACAATTTTGACTAAAAACATAAAAAACTGAACAAATAATCAGAGACATTGGTAGTAATTAATTTATATGAAAATGGAAACGACCATCATTAATTTTGACTCACATACAATTTTTTTTTGCTAATACAAAAAAAGGGTTGTTTGTATGTCAATGAAGAATATTTAAAGAGATTGCATTGAGAGGAACTTTGTACCAATGTGTGAACCAAAAGTGTTGTATATATAAAAATAAAAAGTATAGGGTAGAGTATATCTTGGGATAAATTAAAGAATGTGGTGTAACCAAACATGACTAAAAAGAAATTAAAGGCCTATAAATCACCAACCTCAAAAGGGATGAAGAAAAAAAAGGGGTTAAAACTTACTGTAATTAATAAAGCTAGAAAACATTGGATGCTCGAAAGGAAATGAAATGAAGTTTTGTGTGTTCTACTTTGTCTCTAATACAATTAATCACCTTTTGAAACCAACGATGTCCACTTTGTTCTTGAGTACTCATATGACTACCGTTTGTCAAAGAATCCTTTAACTTTAAAAAAAAAGGGATAAATGAAAAATTAATATAGAGTATGTATTATTTAAGAGTGATGCTTGCATGATCTTAATGTGGATTTTCTCATTTTTTAATGAATTTTTATGTGGATATTTTTTATTTTGCAAAAGAATCACTTCTTTTATGTTACAAATACACTAAAGTCTATAAAATGAACATAAGATAGGTTCATAGAAGAATTTGGCTTTATTTATGGGAAAAAAGGTTAAAATATGAGTAAAACCGTGAAAATATACGGAGTATCGAAATAGGACTTCCATGTTTTTATTTCTGAAATAGAAGTTAAAATACATTTACATTATCAAACATAGTCATGCACATTACCAAAAAGTATAGTAGCGTGCACATGTACAATATCACATTACCACCACATTACCACAGTGCGAACTCTTATTTCGAGAATAAAAACATGCAACTTCTATTTTGGTACTTTTATATATTTTAATCCTATTTATAGTGATTTCTATTTATTTATTTTGTACTCCCTCCGTCTCATATCAAATTGCATGTTTACTATTCACATGATCAAATTTCATTCACTTTATTTCTTTTTTCAATAATTATTTGATAAAATAAAATAGTTATGTCACCATCTATTTTGTAGATTTTTTGTTGTATTTTAATATGTAATTTTTTAATTTTACATTATTTTTCATATAAAATAATTTGAAAATAATTTAAGTAAGACATCAAACCGAAACAAAGAATACAAATTGAGAGAGAGGGAGTAAGTGTGTTCTGTATGAGGTGAGGCGTGATGTTTTTCCTTGAAATAAAATAAAAGAAAGAAAGAATATCCCAATTTGGCGATAGTACAGCTAGTATACACTACTCCCACTGTAGTCCCACGTCAAGATTCAACAATTAACACAATTATTAAGAAAAATAAGATTTTTGTATTGATCATAAAACCTTTTTCACAAATGAAAAGTAAAAATTTTTTTTTAGAATAGATGGAAAAAAGATGAAATATCTATTTTAAAAATAAAAATAAAAATATTCCATATATCACATTGATTTATTTATATATGTACCCCATATAAACGGAGTATTTGCAATTTGCTAAGATTCTCCACATACATATGCCTTTGTCCCGTTGCAGACTTGCTAAACAAAAGAACAAAATAACTCTTATCCTAACCACACGCACTTTCTGGTTAAGCTTAGATTAATCCTCAGCCGGAACTATACTCTTTAGGCAAAAATTTCCTCATAGAGATAAATAACTTTTTCTCTCAAATTATGAGCCGTGACCCTTCACCCTAACTCTAAATTACAGAAACAAACGAAACTTTACAGCAAATTATACCATGACCGTAGTTTTTATTTAATTTTTTTTGAATGTTAGTTGCTTCATTTTTTACCACTATAACTTTTGTTTCTGTTTGCGTATATAAAATTTTGAGTAAATTCTATAATTGGTACTTTATAACATAACATGTGGGTTTTCCTATTTAGTCCTCTATTATCAAATATTACCACAGTGGTCCTTCTTTTATGGGTACCTTTTCACAAATAGTCCTTTTTTTGATCTTCTATCATGTTGGTGTTAATTTGAGGGCTAAAAGTATAATTTCACAATGATAATATATCTTTTTTGTCATACACAATTTCAAAGGTTGTTCCGTTTGCATCTTTTGTGAATTACAGTCGCTTTTTACGACAACGATAGTCTACAAATGTGATCTTTCGTCAGAATCCTAGTCCACAATCATAGTCATTATTTTTGTGTTATCCGCTTAACCAATATCAGAACACGTCACTACACATAATGTTGATGTCAAATTATACTTTTAGCCTTTAAATTAACACCAACACGGCAGTAGATCAAAAAAAGGACTATTTATGGAAAGGTACCCTTAAAAAAAGAACTACGGGAGTAATATTTGATAATAAAGGACTAAATATAGAAATTCCCTGTTATAAAGGACTAATTATGGAATTTACTCTAAAAAAATTTTATGGACCACAATCACATGTTTCAATTTTTGGTTGAGTTGGTTCCTTGACACTTTGTATATATATTTTGATAAACCATTTGATATATTAAAATATTTGTGTCGTCTATTCTTTTGTAGGATATATGTGTGTGTGTGAGAGAGAGAGAAAGATACGAATATCGCATCGCATGTGGAAGAACTTCAAGCTTCTTCAAGCTCTGAAAAAAGTGAGGCAAAAAAAAATAAAAATTTTGAGTGTTTTCGAACTTCAAAAAGAGTGAAAAGAATTATATTAGGCTTTTGATATTTTGTTATGAGAAAGACATAGAAAAGGAAAGTGAATCCGAAATGGATTCGGTTTGGTGACTTTCCTAGTTTTTCCTATTTTTGTTTTAGTATGAATAGAATCATTAAAAGTTTATTTATTTGCTTTACCTTCTCCTTATATAAAGACTTAAAGAGAATTGGTTCTTTGTATTCAATTCAAGAAGATAATTCAATATTGAAATATCTCCTCCTATTGTATTCTACATGGCATCGGAGCAAGTTTTTAACTTTTGAGACCTCAAACACGTACGGTTTTACACTCTTGCCGGTGGGCATACGCACTTCAATGCCTATCGATGAGATATCGTGATCTTTAATTTTTTCCCCAAATAATTGCTAGGCATGTCTATTTGCTGCGTTCGACTGGCATAACGCTATCTGCGTCAACATCGACCACCATAGCAACCTTCGAAAGTACACTAGAAACTGCCACCCGTGCATGTTGTCAATAAAGTCGGCATGACACATGGTTGTTCCTCGGCAAAGAACATGACTACTGAGGAATCACAGTTACTAGACAAGAAGAAATCGTCCGGCAAGAGTTGTCCTAATGTGCAGGCAATTCTTTTAAATGGTGTTTAGGATGCTTGAAAAGAATGTCATTCGTCCTGTTCGTTTGATTCGGTGAAGGTTTGAAAAAAATGATGTTTCTTTACTCGATTGATTGTTCGGTAGATTTGAAAAGAGTGGCACAAAGAAAAAAAAGAAAAATTATTTGTTGAAATGTTCAGATGAAACTTGAACAAAGATCACTTGATTGTGTGTTGTCCAAGCTAGACACTCGTAATCCCCGCGCTCCAGCGTGAGGGGGGTGTTACGAGAGAGACATAGAAAAAGAAAGCGAGTCCCTTTGGATTCGCTTTGGTGATTTTCCTAATTTTTCTTATTCTTATTTTCTACTTATTCTTAGTGATTGATTACAAAATAATGATGAAAGATTATAATACTATCTCCGTCCTTGAAAACTTTTTTCTTTCTTTTTTCATCCGTCACAAAAAACATTTTTTATTTCTATTAAAAAGTCACTTTTATTCCTTACTTTTCATACTCTACCTATCACATCATACCTTTTTACTAATAATCTACCCATCAAATCTTACTTTTACATATCACATCAAAAGATTTTTTTTAAAAATTGAATATCAAAATACAATTCCTTTAAATCTCTTTAAAATCAATAACTTCCATGTTTTTAAGACGGGAGGGAGTATATAAAGAGTAAGAGAAATTTATCTAAATAAGACTAAAACATAAGTAGAAATCACCCTAAATAGGACTAAAACATAGCAAAAGTATCAAAATAGGACTTTCATGTTTTTTCCCCGAAATAAGACTTTGCATTGTAGTAATGTGACTTTGCACTGTGGTAATGTGGCAGTGTACATGTGCACATTACTATACTTTTTGGGTAATGTATATGACCATGTTTGGTAATGTAAGTCCTATTTCTGGAATAAAAACATGGAAGTCCTATTTTGGTATATTTTGAATGTTTTAGTCCTACTTTGGTCTTTCTTCCAAAACATAATGACTTTCTCAATATAGGACCATATGCTTTTATTTTCCAATATACTTAGTTGAGCAAATGGGCTCGGATCCGTGCTAATTCTACCGGAATAAATGTTTATATATTACTCGTAAAGAAAATCTTGTAATGAAATGTGATGAGGAGCAGACTGGATTCAACAGCAGCAGTCTTGTTTGGACATAGTCCACGAATCAGAATCTGAAACTGGAATTCATTTGTTCTTGGATTTTTCTTTATTCTTGAATCTTTCTTTTTTTTTCTATCTCCTTTTTTGTGTTAAATTAGACCACTTTTTCCTTGAACCGCGATAGCACTTGGCATGTTTTCTTATCTTCATGTACTGTAAAATGAAACAAATAACTCTTGAAGAGCAACAAAAAAGTCATTAGTTAAACAATGATTTTGATTGTTTGATTAATCAATAAAACTAAAGTCAATCGAAGCTGTCAAAAATTATACGAAAAGTTATTTTCCCAAACATAGCCTGAATGTGGTCTAGAAAAATAATAATACCATATAAATTTTGTATGAATGATTTATTTATTTTTTTCCGGAAGGAACGAAAACTTTCCACTGGATTGATTGAATGAGTAGGCTGGCTTGTGAAAAACAATGAACGGTGTTTTTTTTTAAATCAACAATATTTTTAGTTCTTCCAGATTAGACTTGGACATTGGGAGGGTCAGAGGGTTTGCCAAGATCGGCCCAGGACACTCTGGGCTTGATGGGAAATTTTGTTTAGGCCTTTATAAGGCACTCTATTTTGATCAAGTCTCTCTATACTTTTTAGAGCTAGCAAAATGATCGTTGGAGTCGAGTTCGATCACTTTGGATTCATGTTACTTCGGATTTCAGTAAATTCAGGTTCGGGTTGAGAGCTACATGTTAATTATCCAATGTCATCGGGTTCAAATCAATCCAACGGGTTATGACTTTCATTTATTTTTTGAAATTTTAAGTATTTTATGGCTGGTTGTCAATATTATGAATAAAAAAACTAAATATGCAGAAAATTTTGAAAAAAATAAGATAATTGTGCGATATCATTAAAGATTTGTATGAAAATATAATTTTATACATTAAAAAATGAATAGAAGCAAAGAAATATAATTAAAATTTTATTTTTATAACACTATATTACATATTAAAGCATATGATTCTGAAAAATTTTTATATTAGCGAGTTCGTCAATTCAGATTTGGGTTCAATCGGGTTTGACCCATTTTTAACGAGTAATTTCGAATTCTGTCAATTTGGATTCAGTCAGCAAAACCTTTATTCAAAACTCAGTATTTTAGGATTGAGTCTCAGGTCAAAAATAGATTGGGTCATTTTTTGTTAGGTATAATATTTATTTGTATCTATATAGCGGCTTGCATAA